GGGGACGGTGCCTGTGACGTTTCACCTCTGCCCTGCTGCATCTTTCACAGTTATTTCCTTCAGAGCAAATGCCCTGGGTTACTTCTACTTCACTCTTACTGTGCTCTGATATCAATTAATGAATAATTTCATGAATTTCAGTCGGCCCATGCTGTGTGCTGGCCCATTTTCTGCAGAGCTCTCTCTGAAGCAGCTCGCTGGATGTAACTCCCCTGAAATGGAGGCTGCTGGGCAGTGACCTAAAACTCATTTTCTGGTGCTGGGGAAGATCTCACACAGCCCATTACAAATACATAATGCAGAGGAGTAGGACCACAACAACCCTTTCATATTTATACCCTGATCTGCTGCAGCCACTTGAGCCTCTGCTTGGTTTTGGTTTCAACGTTGTTTCTTCTTTAGGTTAATTCCACTAGTCCTGTCAGCCCCAGACTGAGAAAAAAATGCCTTCCTAATTCATTATATCCTACAGATTGAAGGGAGAAGAGGCATCTCCAGTGGTTCCCTGCACAGCCCAGTGTTACAGGAGTCTCTGAGGTGTCCCCCTCCATCAGGAAGGATGCAGCAACATCAGAATTTCTTTCATACCATTTTAAATCCCTTTGCTCTGTCAGCCTGGCACCTGGTTAACCGTGGATATTTGACAGGCACGTGCTTCAGAGCCTGCCCTGGATGCCTTTTGATAGGGATTACCACAGAGAGATAATTATACTGGGAAAAAGCTTTGCACAGTTTGTTGGTTTGGCCAGGGAAACAGATGCCCAAATCTTTTCATCTCTTCCAGCCGGACTAAAAGAGAACCAACAACACAAGGATGAATCAGAAGGCAAACTGAGTGTGTATCAGCTGGTTTCAGGGCTGAATCCTTCTGTGATGTTTGGAACACTGCTCTCCAGTCAATGAAAGCAGGATTTCTGCTATCACAAGCACGCTGCAGTCACTTCTGCAGCCCATGTGACACTGGTGATATGAATGACGAACACACATCTGGCACTACGGAACAGGACTCCCATCTTGACATTCATTTGGCAGATGGCAGAGCTCCTCACACACTGTGGAAGTGTGTGATAAACTGAGATCTTGCTATTAGCCATCCAAAAAAAAAAAAAAAAATCCAAGTTTAACTGCATTAGGACAAATTGCTGAAATTAATGTGGTAGGAGTATTTGCAAGTGTTCCAAAGGCATCACACGCTTGGCTGGCTGCGAGAACAAAAGATCAGGGAGGCACAGCTTTCTGTGCTCAAGGTTATTTTCCCCCTCTGTCCTCACTTTTTAATTCCAAATTCGCTTCATTTCCAGGAAAACACCCACCCAAAAGTTCTGGATATCCTTGAAACAGTTTGGATACACTATTACTTCAAACAGAAAACCAGTTATGTCCTGCCAGCTTTTGGTACGCTCAGCACATTTCCCTGTCCATCAGTGGACAAACAGCCTGGAAATTCCTCCTTGTTTCTTCATGGCTTAATCCCACCCACATAACTTCACTCCTTCCCTTCTTCCACAGACAGCTGGAAAAATTACTCTGTAAACTGCACCTGCCATTTCTGTACCTGTGTGTCATCAATATTTATTACTCTCTTAATCAAGATCTGCTAACCAGTGGATATCATAACGTGACATATGCTCTGTAGTACACTGCATCAGTAAGGGAAAAATTATTTGCTTTCTTTGGTTTATATTTCTATTTATTGACCTTTTAATTAAATTTTGATAGCTTAATTTTTCTTTTCAAACCATCCCCAGAGTCGGAGCAGTTCTACACGGCGCAATAAATGGAGCTCCAATTCATCATTCACTTCCTTCCCAGTATAAAACCACAACCACAACTAAATAATATTTCCAGTTTATAGAGTGTCACTTGGAGTAGTTAAGAAGAAAAATGGATCCTTCCCCATTAACAGAGCCATGATTCACCCTGGACCGGAGAGGGGGAGCGTGGCTGTGGTGGGAAGTGGGAGCCTCTGAAGTCAGGGTTACACCAGGGATGGATCTGGCCCACTGTAAATGAGCACTCGCTGCCTCTTACAGAATGGTCTCCTGATTCATCACTGAGACATTTATGGCAGATTAAATGGACTAATTATGAAGCTTTTCTAGGAGATTTGTCCAATCCTGCAAGTCGCTGAGTCCTTTCAGCTCCTTCTGTGGGAGCCTGAAACGCGGAGCTCCTCAGAGCTGGCGCTCAGGACCTGGCAGAACTTGGCCCTTGTTGGGGCTCAGCTGTCTGTGGGACTGCCCCAAAATCTGCTAAAGCAGAGGCAGGGGATCCCCCTCGTTGCACTTGGGTCTTGGAAGGGGCACTGTGCAGTGGGAATGAGGGCATTGAATCCTTTGGATGTGCTGGGAGCAAGGGTCACTCAGCCTGGAGAAGAGAAGGCTTAAATGGTCACCTAACTGTGGCTTTCCAGTACCTGAGAGGAGGCTACAGGAAAGACAGAGAGAAAATAACAAGAACATGCAATAACAGGACAAGGGGGAGTGGTTTTGAACTGAAAAAGAGTAGCTTAAAGTGGATGTTAGGAATAAATTCTTCCCTGTGAGGGCGGGGAGGCCCTGGCACAGGTTGCCCGGAGAGGTTGTTAATCCCCATCCCTGTTCAAAGCCAGGCTGGATGGAGCTCTGAGCAACCTGGGCTAGTGGAGGGTGTCCCTGCCTGTGGCAGGGGGTTGGAACTGGATGATATTTAAGGTCCCTTCCAACCCAAGCCACTCTGTGATCTCTGACAGTAATTACATTTGCAATCAAACAGGAGCCTGCAACTCTACTCTCGATTTGACCTTTTCTCAGTTAATGCAATCAGAGTGAAGACCTTCCAGCACCCCTGACTGATGCTCCTTGGCCTCCTCTTCCAGTGCCTGGTCATTTTTTCCCTCAGCTCAATAATCTGCTTCATTATTCATCATTTTTTAAACAACTCCCTGCACCTTTTCTTTTCCTCGCTTCTTCTTTGCTGAGGTATCACTTTTCCCTAAGATGATTTGCCAAATCTCTTGTTCGTGTTGGGAACTGATCGGTGCAATTACTGGGCAACATTTATCTTCTGTGTGGACATTTTGCATTAGTTTCTGATTCAGAGGGTTTGAATGGCCAGCAGCTGACCTAAGTGATTTTCTGTTGCCACCCTTTACAGTGACACACACCGGCCATTTCAGGTTTTGTACCGGGCTGGATCCAACGGGAAAGGACTTCTGAGGAAACAAAACCTGTGATATGAAGCCTCTTTTAATCTCCCAAATGGCTTAAAACTGTAATTTTTTTTTTTTACACATGGAGCATAAGGGATCAAATTGGAAGCAAATACCCTCACAGAGGCAGGAATAGATAAGGCTTTAGGTGTTCAGTCTGTGTGACTCTTTCCATCAGTAGATGGACTCCCTGCTCCTCAGGGAAGAACTTGGACTCTCCATCCTTCTTCCTGACCTCCATAAAATCGCTGCAAGGACATCTGCTTATTTTTCTTGATTATCCAGGGAGAGAGAAGCAATTTATTGGAGTCCACCCCTTCATGACCTCCCTCACTATGAAAAAAAAACTCTCACGGCAACATCTCTCCCTCCTGTTTTTTACCCCCTATTTCTCACTAAAAACTCCCAAAGAATAAGGATGAAAAATCTTTGGGAATGTTTCCAGTGTCCAGGCAGGGATAAGCCAACTGAGGAGCACAACTTAGAAGATGCAGTGGCAGGAAGGCAGGTGGTTTCTGAACAGATTGTTTGATTCACCACTGACAGCAAACAGCTAAATGAGTTGCCACCTGATTTCTCCTGCTTGACAAGAAATATAATAAAAGAGCACTTCAGTGTTTAGCAGGCAATATATTGCCATCAGTGGTGATTGAACTTTATTAGAATACACCCAGTAGCACTTTTTTTCTTGTCAGAAAACCTCTATTATGCATTTAACAGGGAAGGCTGTGATTGTCAAAACCCCCTACTTTTCATCTGGGAAATGTTTTGCCATGTCTGCATCTAATGCCATAAATTTCAATCATGGCCTGCAAATCCACAATTTAAGGCAAATCTCCACCAGCTTTTATCAGTTTCTGTATATACAAGATGGGGCCATCACAATATATCGAGGAGCCCCCTTCAAACTCACCAATAGTTTTGTTTTCAGCGAGCTGTTTTTAGATTCTAAATACTCCCTTAACGTATGGGAAACGGTTATAAATAATTTTTCACCTCTAGATTGTCTCTTGGCGTTTTTCAAAAGCGTGTGGGCAGTTACTGATGCAGGTGGAAGACACTGTAACAGACTTTTTACACTGCCCAGGGACAATATAAATGTAATCCTGTTCACAAGCCTTTCAAACACAGTCAGAAACTGCTGCTCAGGGTTATAGATCCCCACCCAAAAACCCTCAGCTGTTCTGCACGTGCTTCTCAGCTTTGCTTCGGCAATATTTCATTTGACAAGCAGCTGATGTCAAACATCGTAACTCCCAGGCACAAATACATCGGCATCAGTGCTATTTTTTATTATTTTTTTTTTTACTGTTATTATTTTTGATCGTTTTTTTAATCTTTGATTTGAGCACTTCCTAAGCTCCTCTGCGTGCCAGAAGAACCAGACACGCTCTGCTGTGATTTAGATGGAATGTCATCCCACGGCAGATTCCTGCACGGTGCATGTTGGAGCAGCTCTTCAAAAACAAACGAGTTCTCCCTGCGTTGAGGAGGGAACTCACCGCCACCTTCCCAAGAGAACATCAGCACAAACCACCGTGGAGGTGCTAAAAGTGTTTTAAAAATGTGTGGCATAAATTAAGATCCACATTAATGTTGTGCCAGAAGAGAGCCCACCACTATCCTGCAGAACAGAGGCCTCTGAGAGTGGAACGAGGAGAGGAATAAACCCTGAGCTCAACTTTTTACATGTTAGTCGTGTGGAAAAGGGGAAAAGCTCGAGGGTGGGTGTTAACTGGGTGCTTTCCCGCCCTGAGATACCAAAAATCTCCAAGATCAGTGCTAAGTTCCTGGTTGAATTGGAAAATACAGTCAAGAAATGCTAATTTATTTATTATATCACATTGGATTTTGCTTGCAAAGGAACCTCAAACCTCACCTTCAACCTTCATGTTATATCCACATCTTCTCTATCTGTCCAGAACTACTACCTGCCCAGAGCAAAGCAAACCTCCACATTATATTAATCATTTAATTGTTTAAGGTCACCTCACAATTGTTTAAGGTATAGTCCACCCAGAGGTGAATTCTCAAAAGCCACTTTGGAGTTATTCTGCCTGGAAAGGCTGAAAGAATTAATTGATTTATTAATGGCAATAAGTGGGTTTGTGGAGAGAGAGGAGGAGACCTTCTAATCCCAGGGATGAATAATCAGACAACTGGCTTTACCCACAGGGAGTCTGTCCCAGCAGGAAGGCCTGGCTGGCATTTGGAGCAGGAAAAACAACGGGGAGGAAAGAGCTGACACCGCCTGAACTCTCAAGGATGAGTTTGGGGGATGGTTTTAGACATGTGGTTCAGTTTTAGGGAGGAGCAGGGACTTCCAGTCAGTGAGACTTACTGGTCCCTTCTAACCTGAGATATTTTAGGAGGGGAAGTTTGTGACTTCCTAACTTTAGGCATGAAGGTGAGAAGGAAGGTGTAGCTGAGGAGAAAAGATGTGGCAAAAGCTTTATTAGATATTTCTTTCAAAATCTCCTCCTCACAAGAGGCTGTTTCTCCCTCACTTCACTTCGTTCCCCCCATTCCCTGTCCCCCAAATTCAATCTAAATCTGAGGCCAACCCAGGGCACTTATCCTTATAAATCAAACATTCAGGAATGCTGAAGGGACATTCCACTTACCCAATTAAAGCTGCAGTTCACTTCTAGTTGTCCCCCTCCACCCAAAATCCCTGTTTGCTTACAGCACAATACACACAGTGAGGAAAAAAAACCAAAGATATTCAAGGTATCAGCATTTCAATTACCTTTGGCACAGATCTGATGTACAAACTGTCCTCAGGGCCAGTGGACTTGGAAGATGCTGGGGGAAGAGAGGCAATTCCTGTAAGGAGAATATCCAAAAGCACTGTTATTCAGGAGAGGAGCCCATGCAGGAACAGGTTTTCTGGCAGGAACTGTGACTCTCCACAGGGCTGCCATGCTGGAACATTCCATTTCATTACCACGGAAAAGACCATTAATTTGCAATAAATTAAATTAATCCTCCAAAAACAGAGTCTTCTTTGCCTGTGGCAGTAATTAGTGAGGGATCTCCCCCTCCTCATCTTCACCCACGAGCTTTTCCATCTTATTTTCTTCCCCTGTCCTGTTGATAAAGCAAACTTGGTGGCCAACCAAGGTCAACCCAGCTCCCAAATAAATATGGAAGAAGCCTATACAAGGCCTCAGTGGAATCAGTTTGTCCAAGTTCACTTAATTTCCCTTTTATTCATTGTACCTCCATTTTACAATATACCACAAGCTCCGGAAATCTTTCCTCTGTACTTATTTCTTCGTCATATATTTGTTAGAGAGAACGGGACGTGTGCCTGGCTTACAGACTCTGCACAGTAATTTTATGTCCTTAAGTGTTTGATTAAGTGTTTTGACAACAATGTGGCCATAAATGCGAGCGGTGGGTAACGACTTGGTGGAGATTTGCATTTGCTTTTGAAGAGTCTTTGTGCTCAAGGACAAGAATTTATAATGCCTTAGTCATTTATCAGTAAAATAATAGTTCACCAACTGCCTTTTTTCTTTCCTTCTCTTCTTTTTTTTTATTTCTTTTTTTTTTTTTTTTTTTTTTTTTTTTTTTTTTTTTTTTTTTTTTTTGGTGGTGGTGGTGGTAACAGTGGTGGATTTTCCTTTGTTTTCAAACACCAACTGAAAAATATTGCCCAAATTAATGGCTGCATGGAAATCCAGCCCTCCCACCTCTGGCCCCAGAAGATATTTGGAAGAACAGAGGCATTTCCCATACCAAACCCAGGACTAAATATAAATGTCCACCGCAAAGAACTTTACGTTTCCTCAATAATTTTGAAAGGCCTTACTCTAGAACATTCAGAGCGTTCTGAAGAGGTTCAGGGCAAGCACAGATCCCTCACTGAGGGTTGTGAAATGTGTGTGAAGTCTCACCATGTCATTGCTTGACATATTATCCAAAAGGCCCATGTTGAGAAGCACTTTGACAACATGTGATTCACCAGCTCAGCCTCACCTGAGCTTTGATCCGTGTCCCACAGTTCCTCTGGAAGGTATCCTGGATTTTCACTGCCATTCCTCTGCCTGCTTTCCAAATCTCCATCCTGTTTCTTCTCAGCTGAAACTTTTCTAGAAAACAACAACGATAACAAAAAAAGGTGTGTAATGAGAAATTCAATATGATAGGAGAACTCCTGGGTGGCAGAGTGCAGGGGGAAAAAGCCTTGCTTCCCAAAAAAAACAGGCGCAAAACATATCTGGGACTTCCAAGCCGGAAAAGTCCCATATAAGTATTCCCCATGGAATTCTGTTTGGAAAGTTCCCACCAGCTGCTCTATCAGAAAGCAGGAAAACGAAAACAACTGAGCAACCTTCAGACTCTGCACCAGATCACAGGTTTTGTAGGCAACGAATTTTGGTCTTTAGATGTGAATTGCAGGATATTCAGTGGCCCAGTAAATGGTCACTCAGCACAGCTCATCATTTTGCTGATCTGAGCCCGTCCCCAGTTGAAAAAACAAAGAGGGTTATCTCAAATCCCCACAGTGGGCTCCCAAGTGATTCATCTCTACACTCCAAAGTTAATCTTTCACTTTGAAATCCACTTTACCGGTGAAAGGAATTCCCTGGGTTAAATTTACACATCTCTGAGTGTGCAGAATGGTGACCTGCAGAGCTGCACAGTGAGACAACACTGCTTTTTTTCCCTCCAAACTCTTACTCGAGAAGAAAGGCCACTATTCATCTGCTCCTACCATGGACCCCTCTCCAGGATAGTCCCTTTGCCAAGGTTTCAGGTGTGGCAAGCACAGATCCACTATGAAAACCCTTAAAGCCCAACAAACTCAGTGTAGCAGTCAAATAAAAAAGCAGCTACAAAAAAAAAAATAGAAGTGTGGGAGGTATGGGAAGGTATCCAGGCAAGTTAAAAATAAATGGGGGAAATAAACCAATATATGTTTGGTCTCACCACTTCTTTGCTACTATAATGGATCAAATCTGGACAATCATCATTCTTTTTACTGCAGGTTAAAAAAACCCCAACAACTGGACCTACAAAATCTGTAAGTGGCTGTTAATAATCCTGATTTCAGTGTCACTGTTTACACATGGTAAAACTCTGCAGAGCTGTTCATACAGAGCCTCCAAGTCCAAGCTGAGCCTCGGAAAGCCTGAATTCATCCCAGTTTTGTCAGCTTCCAAAGTGCAAGCTGCACTTGGCAAAATGGTCAATTCAGCCCCACAAACTAAGAAATCCCGTGGAAGTTTACATGGCATCATAAGCATCATTTCCCTGGGAGAAAATAAGGGGTATATCCTTTCCTTTTTTTGTTCTGTATCAATAAAGTGCTCCATAAATGGAAATCTGTCAACAGACCTTCACAAAATTTTCCCCCCAGGAGGCTGTTAATGAAACCGGGGATTACTGACGTGCCAGGCTTTGGAAACTCAGGAAGGGACAGGGAGTTAAAAGCCCCCCCACATGTGGGCAGGGTATGAATTTACAGCCCTGCCTGGATATAAATAATAACACAAATAATATAAATAACCCCACTGCCACTGCTGTCACAGCCACACTGGGCCAATAAAAAGGATCTTAATGCTGGTAGCCATCAGCTAAAATTTTCCTGCTCAGTGCAATAATTTACCAGCAGCTTTGTGCCCAAGTGTGTCTGGCAACCACTTGGTGATGGGTTGATGCCCATCACTGAAGCACCTTTATTAATTTTTTTTATAGAATCATAGAATGGTTTGGGTTGGAAGGGACCTTAAAGATTATCCAGTTCCACCCCCAGCCGTGGGCAGGGACACCTTCCACCAGCCCAGGTTGCTCCAAGCCCCCTCCAACCTGGCCTTGGATGAGGGATGAGGAGTCCACAACCTCTCTGGACAACCTCTGCCAGGGTCTCAATATCAATAATTTGATATTATTTCCTAATATCAAACCTAAACCTACCCTCTCACCCCTCTCTTCTGCCAGCTCACCCACCCTTCAAAGAGCCGGGCAGACGGTGCGATTTCCCTGCCCATCCATCTATCCATCTACATCCATCCATCCATCATCCCGAGGAGCTCCTCCTCTGCCGTCCCCACGCGAGTATTTGGGCTGGCAGTGACATCCTGTGGCGGCAGTGGAAAATATCGCCCGCCGGGCTCTGCTGGCCAGCCCGGAGCACCGGGAGATCCTGCCCTTCCCGGCACATCCACCTCCCAGGAATTCGCTCTGCCCAGAGTCCAGTTAACAGGAAAAGTTCTCCCCCAAAACCCCCCACTATTCATCTGACTCACCTGATTTCACTTTGATACGTAGATGCTGAGAAAGAAAAACAAATAAATAAATTAATTAAGGAACGTTTTTAAAACGCCAGAAATTAAAACGTAAACTGTAAGTTCTCTTAGAGCGTTCCCCTGTGTTGCGGCTCCCACAGGAGCGTCTCTCTCCCCCCCATTTACACAATTTACAGCCCTGTAGAACAGCTCACACAGGAACTGGAATTAGGCACGCAGCACTGAAGATATTCCTCAACAAAGAACCTCAGCCCAGGAACTGCAAGCCTTTTAAAGTGAATGTACTCCCCCAGAAACCAAGCCCTCTCGTAGTTAACCTGAAGGGCTGGCGCTGATTGCTGTGGAGTCAATTTAGGAGGGGAAAAGGAAAGTGAAATTAAGGAGCATCTTAAGGTCAATTTTAGGAGCGTTTTAAGTGCATTTTTAAGCAGGTCAAGGTTAAGAGCAGGGTCTGCCTGCTCACAGCTCTGCTCGCAGGACTTTGCACAGCACACAACGTGGGGGTTTATATCTGGCCAAAGATCCTTTTCAATGGACGGACCGACTGCAAAGCTGAACTCACCTCTCCTCTTCAGGCAGCAGCGAACAACCACCACAATGACAGTGGTCAGAAGGACAACGCCAAGAAATGAAAGCACAACTGCAAGCACAATAACCCAGGAGTTGCTGTCGTCGTCACTGTAATTTTCTGTCAAATTAAATGGAGAAACGTTGTCCAATCAAAGCCCCAAAACACCCTTTTCCAGAATATTTACCTTCTCTCTGAGATGCTTGTTGATTATTAACAGGGAGCCTATGTTTTCCAAATGACAGACAAATGACACACTTATGGGTGCTGCCCAAGAATTTAAAATATTTCCAAATCCGAATTCTTTAGTGCAGTTGTAACTTTTCCCACCGCTACTTCTCCTGTAATCTTCCAACCTAACTTTATTTCTGGGCCTCCCAGCATCCTTTGGAGACATTTGGGGTTAAGATTCAATTTAGATGTCTCTACTGCAGATATTAAACGTCTTTGCCCAGCTGCTCTCGTCAGTGGAGAGAAAAATGAGTATTTTGGGTTGCAATTTATTTGAGTAAATGTATGTGTGTCCCTTTTGATATGCTGAAATGCTCTGAAAGTGTCCACTTCTCCCCACAGAACGCAGCAAGAGTTTTAGCTGGCCACTACAGTTGGTGATTTCTAGTCTGGGGATATAATTTTCAATCAGTTCTGCCTTGGGATTTCTCTCAGTGATTTCAACAAGCGTTTGATTTCAGGAGATGCTTGGTAGGGAATCTGTCACCCACTTAAAGAGCAGCAAAGAGCGAAACCTGAAGAGAATATGAAGCTACTCATCCACCTTCTCTACCAGCATTATCCCAATTAACTTATTCCTTTGCTTTTGCTGGAATCTCTGGGGTTAAATGAGGTGATTTAAGGGATAACTCAGTGTCTTGCTGGAATCAGCTCTCTTGCTGAGACCAAACAGGGCTCCCGTGGGTGGGAAAATAGAATCAGAGAAAAATAGAATCAGGATGGTTTGGGGTGGAAGGGAACTTGAAAAGATCAAGTTCCACCTCCCACTATCCCAGGTTGCTCAGAGTCCCATCCAGCCTGGCCTTGGACACTCCCGTATTTCTCACATAGACTGATTCAGAAGGAAGATAAATCAGTTCTGATTGTCACTTTGGTTTGACCACAGATTCCAGAAGCACCTCTATCCAAGCCATTCACCCTTTGGAAAGCAGCCCCAAAATAACTTGGACAGATCTTTGGAAACAAGCTCCCAGTTCAAGTTCCAGGTGTGAGGCACCCCCAAACTTGGCACAGCCCATTCTATCCCACGTGTTTATGGTTGTGTTTCCCTCGTTAGAGGTCCCAATTAATGATTCCAGGGCCACCCTCAGCTGACAGCCTCTGGAAAAGGCACCACGGGCTGCAGAGTCCGGGCTGTGCCATGTGGGAACAAAGTTTACCTATGGCAGGGAATAAACTAAATCCTTTCTATCCACATATTTGCCTGGGTGTGTGTTTGGAATCTGGAGGTTTCACACTTCAAAAATACAGGACCACAACCTCCTGCAAAGCTTGAACCTCTGCTAGGAGTCTGCATTCTCCAAAGCTCAGGTCACTGTGATTAAGCAATTTGTTCCAGTCTTCCCTAATCCCAGTGCTCAATCAGCATGTTTTGGATTTCTTCTGTTCGAAAAAACAAGCACTTAGCAACCCTGAAACCAGTGGTAAACCCTGTAGGCTGTCATCAGTTTGTGATTAAAACCGGTGATCAACTTGTTCATAATATTTTCATCTGGAAGTACTGCAACAGATACCCACACTGCACTGGATTTTATTCCACCAAGCATGCCATGAGGATTTCAAGATGATTAAAATACCCCACTGTGAGCAAAGTAACTCTGGAGGAGGAGTGACTGACATAAAAATGCATCACCTTGTAGGGCAAGACTGACCCAGGAAGGTGGGACATTCCCTGCCCAGGAACTGTCTGGCTGAAGAGGGTTCAGATTTTTTTGGTATCTCTTGTACTGCTTGGGAGGAACATGGAGGAATTCAATCCCTCAGGCTTTGAAGTGAAGGGGGAAATCGATATTGCAGGAGTTTTTGGGAGGATTTCTCAGGTGTTTGAAGTTTTCCCAGCAACAGGTAGCTTAGGCTGAGCCTGTATATGAAAAGCCAGACAAGCTCTGAGATTTTAAGTGTGATATATATATATATTTATACACATTATATATCATTCTCTGTCATAAATGCCATGCTTTTATTTCATTCTAATCATTTAAAGGCTTCATATTCTCCTCCCCTCACAAATGCTGAGTGGCTGCTGCTGCTGCTGCACAGTGGCATTTCCAAAGAGAAATGAATGATGGTCCTACAGAGTCACCAATAATACACTGATAGTGCTCTGTGACATCTGTTTTTCTCCTCTTCTGATTTACAGTGAGTAGCTATGGAAACTACTAAGGGTGGAGCCATCACTACCTCACAAATCAGCAGGCAGGGGGATTTATTAATTTCCTCAGGATGCTCCTGTTCTGCTCAGTCAGTAATTAAGATCAATGCGACTACAGAAATTCCTATTAAGAAGGTGTAAAAATGACCTTTTCCAGCTGCATTTCCAAGCAAGTTCTCCTGAAAAAGATAACAATGACCCACACTGGAAATGACAGGCACAGTCACTCAGCCTCCTGGGGTGTTTATGTGTCAGAATGTCCACACCAGAACCCCCGTGGATCCACAGGGAGGGTGTCTTTGCATGTGCCACGTTCCCCCCGCCCTGCAGAAGCAGCAGCAGTTCCTCGAGAGAAGCTGTCAGCACGACTGCACCCTCAGCAAAAATGTTTGGAGTTATCAAAGGTCTTGCTGGCTGTTCTTGAGAGATTTGCATGGCATCCAACCTTAAATCTCCTTGAGCACTTTAAGGCACTGCCCAAAAAATTCCACGTGTTGCTGCAGGACGTTTTTTTTTACCTTTCTCTGAGATTTGGAAGAGGCCATGCCAGGAAGAGGAAAAGCAGATCCAACGGTTCTTTGATCTAAGGAGTCTTTGGGATAAGGTCCATGGATATTCCCCATCCCTGGGAGTGTCCAAGGCCAGGCTGGATGGGGCTCTGAGCAACCTGCTCTAGTGGGAGGTGTCCCTGCCCATGGCAGGGGGTTGGGATGAGATAATTTCTGTGCACTGCTCCTATGTTTTAAATTTGCCCCTGAAGTGCAAGGAAAGAACTATTTAAGATCTAAATTCATTAGATGTTTTCCTGGTCAAGGAGCAAAGTCTGGTTTTCCAGTGAATCCACAGGAATCGGTGGCAGATGTACAGCTTTGTCTGCCTCGCTCAGTCCTGCACTGTGGGCTTTGTGGTTCACTACACTTGTACCAGTGCATTTAACCCTCCCTGCACGTCACATTTTGACTACTGGCTCTTAATTCCACCCCCTCTGCACATCCCATTTTGCAAACAAAAGAACTTTTCACAAGATTAAACAAAGCAGAACAAAACACCCAGCTCTGAGCACAGGCAAAGTACAACAAACACTCTCTTACCTGCAGTGGAGCTGTCAAAAATAAGAGTCACAGTTGCATTCTGAGGTTCAGGGAGTGCTTCTATGTCAGCTAAACAAGTCAGAACCTCAGTGGCTGTTGGAGTCACAGTCAGGGTGCTCAGGACATTGTGGAGGCCATCAGATCCTTGGCTTTGCTGGTTGACATAACTCGACTTGTCAATGAAAGAGTCATTTGTCATCCAGGTAATGTCTGGAGCTGGAGCCCATCCTAAGGCCTCACAAACAATTTCAACTGTTTTGTTCTCTTTTACTGTTAAGGTGCTATTTTTGATGAGTAAAGATCCATTAACTGTGGGGGAGGGAAAAGATGTTTTGTTGCTTCAGAATGTTTTGCTGCATTGCTTTCCTGCTGGAAGCTTTAAATCTTATCTCGCTACCCAGAAATAGCTATGGCTTGAGATATGGAGTGGGAAACAATCACTATTACCACAGATATACCACATTCATGGTAGAAACATGCAGATATTGCAACTGCATGGACATATTGTTCATTATATCTAAAGAACAAGCCTCAGCTTTCAGTGCCTTTCCAATAAAAAGCAGGAAATTGCATTTTTTAGCCACCCTGACTTAATTCCAGCTGAAAGGCAACCTAATGAAATGACAGTGTTTCCCTCTGAAGATTTAAATACGCTCAGGTCACATCAGGAAAGGTTTATGGGTGGGTTGATGGGATGTTATCACTGCACCAAGCACCTCTTTGACAAACAGGTAGTGCCTGGTGGTCAAATCCTGCTTTCCTGGCTGAGGTCCGACAAGGAATAAGAGATGTAACAGGGAAAAACAGGGGCAGTGATCACCTTTGTCACTGGTGGTCTGAACGTGATTCTCAAACCTGCTTTGGCAGTAAAATTAAGGTGAGGGGGACAGGAGGCAAAGGGGGTGATTTGAGCAATTCTTCAGAGGATTCCTTGGAGTGCAGTATCATAAAATACCTTCCTGCTGGTGGCCATACACACCTTGGACAGAGAGAAAGGCAAAGTTGTTCTCGCTGGGTTGCTGGATGCTGCACTCGATCTTCCCGGAGTCGCTCGTCTGGACGTTGTGGATGATGAGCTCCGAGGTGAACTCGTCCCCACTGGTGTAATTCTGGGAGGTGAAGCGGTCTGTGGTTTCCACGGATCCCTGGGAGCTGATGACAGTGAGGACAGGATTGCCATTGGACAGCCAGATGAGGATTCTCCATCCTGCAGACACGGTGCAGTTAAACCTGGCCTGGGAGCCAGCAAGGACTGTGGCATTAGCAGGGCCTTTTGTGATAGAGTAACAACAGCCAAGACCTGAAAGGAATTAAAAACCAGCCTGTAAATACACGTCAGACACCACCAAAGCTAGTTACATAGCTTAAAAAACCTTAACCAGCTCAGAGATGGAGATGTGCAACCTAATCTTTCAGCTCCAGTTTAGATGGAGTGGGTTACTTTAAAGACGCATTTCATCTTTTGTCTCTCCTCCTCCCTCTCCAAAATCACCTTTCTCTCTTCAGTAGCTCACTGACCACCATTTTACTGAAAGAGAAGGTTGCACTTTTGAATAGGCAGATAAATGAGTTCTCCAGACTTTGAATAATTAAAGGGGTATGTAACTGGTCCCCTTTCCATACCTTGGATTGCCATTGATTTTTTTGAGTCACACATAAATTACCCACCTCCTCAGGCTTCCTGGTAACCAGAGTTGCTGTAACTCCCCAGTTTTAATTCCCCAAAAGGCAGAATGAGTTTTGGCTCCTGCTTTTCAGAGCTGAAGGCTCCCTTCTAACGAAGGCATTTTGTTTTCCTTTCCTCCTCAGCGAGCCCAGGGCCCCCCACTGCCCTCAGAGGAGCGGAGGTGCAGCTGCTTCCCAGGCAGATGGAGGATTCCCTGTGTGTGGGAAGGCAGAAGCACCTGCTCCTGCTGAGCAGAAAGCGAGGGAGGGAGGGAGGATGAAGGCTGACACCTTCTTTTTTTCAAAGCAGCAGCTGCGCCTTCAACCCCTGAAGTGCAACTTGGAGTCTCTCTCCGAGGATGGACATTCCACGAGCTCCTTGCAGTCCTCGCCAGGGAGCTCCACCTTTTCCTCACTTCCTGGGAAACATTCCTGCTGAGGGCACAGCAGGACTGCCAGTGGTACCCTAATGATTCCATCTGTGCTCAGCATAACAACAGCAATTAGATATCACTGCCCACGGCAGTCTAATTAGAACCCCGTGCCTGCAAATTCGGCCTGGGAATAACTGCTCCATTATTGTCCAGGGGAAAGGAAGTCTGGGATGGTCATTCCTCCCCTTCCTAAGAGTGTTCAGGACAATCAAGTGGTTTTGAAAGGCTTTGCTCACCCCAGGTTTTGCACACTTTGGGTAGTTTATTCATTAGTGGATCAACTATAAATTACTGAAAAAAAAATTTGATTCAATAAATTAGTAGGGGGAGAACGTGATGTATTGTTTCACACAACAGAGATGTTTGAGAGTTGTATAAATGGAAGCAGAGCCCAATCCCAGGTGTGACACTGCAACCAGCACCCTGGGCATGGGGTCTGTCACCTCATTGTTCCAGAGCCCAGACAATTTTATAATTCCCAGCCCACATTTAACCCAGTCAAAGTACATCTCACCGGTGTATATCTAATCAGATTTGTGCCAAGAATTGTTCTTTAACATAAATAGCTCCTCTCTTTCCTCCCACCCACTGCATGTGTTTGCAGACCTCTTTGTTTTGCAGGGCTGTACAAACCCAGCTCCCCCCTGGTTCTTTGTGTGGTTGGCTCTGAGTTCTCTCATGTTTACAAAAAAAACCCTTTCCAACATTTTTCCACCTTCTTGGGTTACGTTACCTCTGCCTTGCACCTCGGTCTCCAAAGGGTATCTGTGAGTGAGCGACAAAACATTGAATGAAAAGCAAACTTTACCTAAACTGATAGTTAATAAAGGCAGATAAGATACAGTAAAAAGTGTTTCTGACCAACTCAAATGGGTTCACTTTTTTTTCCAGCAGCATTTATTCAAAGCTTCCCTCAGACTTGTAAAGTTGAACTGAAATGCCTGAAGACATGAGACAGCTTGAAGGTGAACTTGAAGCAACCCAATCCATGAAAACCTTGCTTTGCAAACAATCGACCCAACACAAGGTGCCTAAAAGCCATTTCCTCTCTTTTCTGAATTCACTTCCTGAATTTTAGGGATCAGACATTCAGGAATCAACCCACATGCCTGTGAATGGAACCATTTACAGAGCTCTGGGTTTCCCGGTGAACGTGCACTGATGAAGTTCGTTCCATCTGCCCTATAATGTGTCCCTCTTCCCTGATATTCAACATCCAGCTGCCGTGATTTATATTCATCCCTCACATTACCAGGGTTGAGACACTCTCCTGGGCTCAAACAACCCCTATAATGTCTGTAACACAGTCATGTGTTGAGTTTGTTCAATTTTTTTTTGTTTGAAGCCTCCCTGGCTGGAAGACTTCAGCTTACCACGATGACAGACACAGACACGAGCACACCTCCTTTGGGGGAACACCAAAATGCATTTGGCTGCCCCTGAAGCAGGAGCTGCAGCACTTCCCCACCCTGCTCCTCTTAATGCAAACTGATCCCTGTGCATTTGGAATTAATTTCCATGCCTGTGCAAACACTCTGCTTTTCAAAGGAGCCGTGATTTGCTATGGCTCTGAACAAATGATGTGGCTTTCAGGACAGTGCTGGCTGTTAATTAATCATTTGCCATGAGATCACGCCTGTGAGTTCCATTCTAGCCTCGAAATTTACCCCTAAACAGGAACAATCAGTGACCATTGGCTCTAAAAACACATGGTTAATATTGCCTTTGTTTCCTTCAGACATTCAGGACAGCATGGGCAGGTAGGTAGGAGTTATTCCTGCATATATACGTAATATAATTATTTTTTATTAGTCCACAGATGTTGTAGGATCTACATCTTCTTCCTCCAGCCACATCTGTTGGAGCAATAGATGATTGCTGTCCACTATGAAACAGATCCATACCCTGCATGGGGATCCTATGGGAGGCAGAAGGACTGAGGAGTGGGACACAGCTCAGCTTTATTCCATTTAGATCCCAATGAAGCCCCAGCATGGCCAACAAAGGAGTTTCACGAGCCTTCTCCACCTGCTCCCCAAACATTTGCACTGATTTTACCTTTGCCTCTTTATCTCCTCGCTTTTATTGTTTATCCTGCACCAGCACGGGGAGCCCTGAACCAACAGAGTGTTCCACTGTCCAAGCCACACACAGACCCTGATAAAGTGCCTTGTGGGAGGTCAGAGAGGACATTCATGACAGAAATGGGATCTGAACCCAATTCCCAGTGCCTCCAGCCAGGGCTGGGAGTCCTTTCGCTGGGCCGTGCCTCTTGCACCAAGGAGAGCGTTTCAGTGCTGGTTTCACCGACACTCAGCTTTAAAAACGCCCTGCAGATGGTTGCTTTTAAACAAATTAAGGCCTGGGGCTTGATTTTCATCGCACTTTACAGCAATTACACGTTCAGCTCCTCACAGCTGTTTCAGCATCTGCTTCCCCACTCACACACATGACCAGTCAGACATCCCACCCAGCCCAACGCCACCCCTGCAGCAGGGGGATGTCAGGCTGCCTGCAGGGTCATCCCAGGCTTTTGAAGACCAAAAGGTGAGTGAGGACACCTTCTGTGAGGTGGAGAGAGAGCACTGGTGAGGATCTGCTCAGATTAAGCATTTACAGTGTCCCAGTTGCTCAGCCCTCCCTGACAGCACACGGAGTAAACACCAGCCCCTTTAGGAGCTCTTTGTTCCCTCATCTGTCACACAGATTCACTGTCACATCACTGCAGGTTTTGGAGAAACGAAAATGCATCTTGTTCCCTCGTTTGCCGAAGGAACAGCCCTTGCCCATCATCAGCGATGTTTTCTCTTCCACGCTTGAACTGCCTCCAAAGGACCCCTTTTTCATGCTGAAGTTTTCAACAACAAGGCCATTGAGATGTGGTGGCACCTTCTCCTCCTTCCCTCCTCTCCCCTGCCCACTCTGCCTTCCCTCTTTTGTAGGTGACCTATTTGGATGCAGCACAGTGAAGGACAGGATGGGCTTATCCTTTTGCCAGAATGATTCCCTTTTTTTTTTTCTTTTTTTTTTCAGCCTCATTATCGTATTTCAAAATAATCTCCCCCTTTATACCCATACTGCCCTTCCACTGCCTTTTATCCTTCAGTTTTTGTGTCCGGTTTCTCTCTTCCTCCCTTCCCTCTCTGCTATTTCTGTTTGAGTTTCTACATTTTTTTCCTTCTAGAGAATTTTAAATTCCTTCTCCTTTTCACTTTTTCTTCTTGCTCCCCCCACCTGCCTCACTGCTGGCCCACTGCTCCAGCAGCAGCTCTGTTAAATAAAATAAATAACTAAATAAATAAACAGCCCAAGTTTATTCCAAAACCCAACAGCCCTGCAGCTGAGCTTTTTTCGAAAACCAAAGTAGGTTAGAGATTGTCAAAGCCTGCAGAGAAGGACCAGCTTGTTCACTTATGTTAACAAGATTTTTAAATGCTTACAGGATGTTTCTGTCAAGTAATACCAGACTAGTGACACTCAGCAACGCAGATTTCCACCCACCTGCACACAAACCTCTCCACGGCCCCCAGGAATGTCTTCCCCTCCCTCCTCTTACTCACTGTTTGACAGCTGTCCCCGTTACGACTTCCCAGTGTGTCCAAAAATAAGAGATCCAGGGACTTCCTGAGCCAAGAATGGAATCTGCACCCTGTGATATTTGTTTCTAGGGGTTTTTTTTTCAGCCTGTTTGTAACTTGGTGTCCACAATGTCCACTGACCATGAGCCAGGTTGGATGGGGCTCGGAGCAACCTGGGATAGTGGAAGGTGTCCCTGCCTGTGGCAGGGGGTGGAACAAGAGGATCTTTAAGGTCCCTTCCAACCCAAAAACCATCCTATTATTCCATGATTCCATACTTTTGACACCTCTGCCTCACTTTATGCATTTCTCAGATTCTATATGTCCTTTTGGAAATGAAAGGGGTGACAAAATATCCAGTATCCAGGATACAAACTTTCTGTGCACTCACGTAATCCCAGATTTCTATCTACCCTCCTGAAGACACTAAACAGTGAATTTTGCTTCTCTTTTACAGCAATTTACTCCCCTTCCAGTATATCCACTCTTTTCCCCAGCTGGACATCTCAGTTCAGTGATGCTTTGCATTGAGTGCTTCCTGTGCCTTTATTACTTCCTCGGCATCGTGACATTTTCTGGCAAATCTTCCCAGTCCCTTTTTGGATTTGGCTGCCCTAAGTAACTCTGCACCACTTGCAACGTCTGCCACCTCACACTTCACTCCTCTTCACCAGGTTGTTTAGGAGCTTGTTGAAGACCACACACCCCTGTGCAATTCCACTGGGAACAGCACTCTGTTTATAAAACTCACTGTTTATTCCCGCATTGTGTTTCCTTTCACCAATTATTGAGCCAAGGCAATACTTTCCCTCTCATCCCACTGCTCCTGTCAGAGCCTGTTAAAACCCCAGGTAGACTATAATTAAAAAAAAAAAAAAATCAGCTTTGTCTTTATTATCCAAGGAGCCACTTTATATTTCCTTTGCCTTTAAAGCTCTGCACCAAGACACTTTTAATCTGAACCCACTTGGAAACTCAGGCATGTGAAATGTGACTTGGTGGTGAAGCAGCAGCATGATGATTTGCACATATTTCTGGAAGCAAAACCAGCTGCTGCTACTGAGTTTTCAACAGATGCCTCCTCCAAAGTAGAAAAATAAAAAATAAAAAATAAAAATAAAATAAATAAATAAAAATAAAAATAAAAAAATAAAAATAA